CCGCCCCGTCTAAGGCGGGGTGGGGAGAGGGAGTGGCGTGGCGGGGCGGGGCGATCTCTAATACCAACCATGCTTTATCTGGTTTTCGCCAAATATTTTTTTTAACAATAATTGCATGATCACCAACTACATGTTTGGCAATGCTTAAAAGTATTTAAGCTAATCAAACATAAATTTTTTCCACGTATTTTATAGAACTCACAATTTACTATCTTATTATTCTCATTCGGTGCTATAGTCACATTCTTTTCTACGTAAATATAGGAAAATGAGGAGTTTGGGGGTTATTTTAAGATACCCAAGTGATTTGTACCCGTTGGTGAAAATGAAAATGACAGTGATGCATGCGAAGAAGCATATCCCATCAGAGCCACACTGGGTATTTTGCTACACTATGCTCCACAAGATCTCCAGAAGTTTCTCTCTCCTCATTCAAGAACTCCATACAGATCTTCGTGGCCCAGTAAGTTCCCTCATTCATTGTTATTATGGAATCATTGGGTATGATTCAAATTTTTTACTTAATAAGTAATTTTACGTATGAGTAGCAGGACTTTCTTGATTATACATGTTTGTCTAAACCGTCGAATATGTATTTTTATGTGTCTGAATGGTACTAGGAGTAGTTATGTTTGTTAAGGTAGTATTTATAAGCCAATCACGCTACACAAACAAACTTAAGGACATGAGAAACGGTGTCGACACATGATTTGACAGTTCGGTACTAGGAGTAGTTATGTTTGTCAAGACAGTATTTATAAGCCAATCATGCTACACAAACAAGTTCAAAAACATGGGAGACACGTGTCGACACATGATTGAACAATTTAAAAAAAAATACAAACAAGTGCTACCAAGTCAGTCTTTTTTTTGTCTTTGAGTCTGTTCAATCATCATTATTGTTTATAAGCAAAGTTAACTTGTTAGAAGAAAGTTAATATTACGTACTAATTGTTAAGTTGCAGAGCGTAATTATTGTTGTTATGCGGAGGTAGCACACAAATCGACCTCAATTGTCATTAAAGTTTTGAATCATCATCAGAAAAGGAAAGAGGGAGGTTAGAGAAGATAGGTTGTGCATTTTTCCTTGCAAACTTCTTCTCATCCTAGTGAATCACTATAGTTGCGAAAGTGGACATGACCTCACTTTGAGGCGAATCTCTATAAAGCTTGCGTGTTATTGTGTATCTCTAATTGCTCTCGCTAGTACAAAATTAGAGTTTCTAATTCTCAACACTTTCCTATTAAGGCCCTGTTTGGGAGGAATATAGATTTTTCTACAGTAAATCAATTCTCATTTTCAACTACACATTCTTCAATAAAATAATATTTTCTATCACATCAATAATTTTTTTTTCTTTTTCAACTACACATTTCTCATCATATCACTGTTCAAAATCAATTTTCCACCCAAAAATCCCACCCAAACAAGCCTTAAACGTACCTCTTCTTACAACAACCTTCATGGTAATTTTTCCTTAATTTTGCAGGTATGCGTTTACTATTTGGTTCTTCGAGCACTGGACACTGTTGGTATACATACTAACTAAAAATGCTTTTATTTCATCATTTTACTCCAAGTGGCTGCAGGCTACGAGTTCCTTAAGTCATTGCTCCCAGCAATTCAAATTAAAGAAGAATATTCATATTATATTCATGCAGATCACTGGCCTTTCAGATTATTATTTCTATTCAATGTAATTCACTTGTTTATCTTATTCACTTCTATGTGATTCTTTTGGACAGAGGATGATACAAGCATAGCTACGGACGTTAAAATACACATCCTAATGGATTTTTATCGTCACCTACATGACACTGAATGGCATTTTTCATGTGAGATTTTGGCATTTTTGCATTGTTATTATGTCTGACACTCTTTCTATTCCTTGGTTTTCTTTGATTTCGCAGATCGAAGAGCTTTTATAAGACTTGTTTGCACTCCCTAGACAGTTCTGCTGTTTTTTGACTGGGGAAATGTTGTGTTGTGCAAAAGCCCCAGATCAGATATATAAAAGAGAGAATCAACAAATGAAATTTTCATGTTTTATGGTTCGACAATTGGACTACGTCCACGGACGAAGACTAGAAGAAATTTACTAATAATGCAAGGGGAAAACGGAAAATAATAGGAAGAACCGAAGAACTCAAACCCAAATGAGGGATTTTTTTTTTTTAAATTCCCTCCAATCCTCAAAATGAGACTCGAAACCAGGTCACGGACCTAGCAAGAAACCACTTGAGTTAGGCATTGATCTCAGAAACTAAGGGATTTTTGCTCCTTTCTAGGATATTGAATCTGCTTTTTTTTTTCTTTTTTTTTTTCCGCTGGAGTGGGGTTGGGGGGATTAGGGGTTGGCTGCATCACATATATTGAAAGTTCTCTTGAATATCTAATGTATGATTACTACAAAATTGTTGTCTAATAGTGGCTATCCTTCATCTAACAGGTGGTACGAATGACCATAAAGTTCTTATGGATGATTTCCATCACGTTTCCACTGCTTTTCTGGAGCTTGGAAGAAGGTTTTAGCTTGTCATTTTCATTTTACTTGACAATTATAGCTGATGTTACATTTTTTTATAGCTAGTTTATGCATGTAATATGCATTCCCATGTGTTTTATTTTTAACAACTTTCATTTCTTTTTCGGCAGTTATCAGGAGGCAATCGAGGATATTACCAGGAGAATGGGTGCAGGAATGGCAAAATTTATATGCAATGAGGTAGAAACAATTGACGATTATAATGAATATTGTTACTACGTGTCTGGACTTGTGGGATCGGGGTTGTTAAATCTATTTCGTACTTCTGGAAGAGAATATTTGGCTCCTGATACTCTGTCCAATTCGATGGGTTTATTTCTTCAGGTACTGATTCCTATATATGTAGTGCCGTATTCATTTTTGAGACTCGTGTACTTAAATTCAAGGCTCATCCCTTGCTCTTCATAACAATTGCAGAAACCGCATGTTATCACAGGCTACCTGGAGGACATTAACAGGATACCAGAGTCGCATATGTTCTGGCCTCGTCAGATATGGAGTAAATATGTCAACAAACTAGAGGTATATTCACCAATAAACTTCTGTTAAATCAACCAGAGCGTGTTGTTGATGGTCCTCTTTGGTTTTATATACCTTAGGACTTCAAATACGAGGAAAACTCGATCAAGGCAGTACAGTGCCTGAATGACATGGTCACAGATGCTTTGATACATGTAGAAGATTGCCTGAAGTGCATGTCATTATTTCAAGATCCAGTTATCTTCCGTGTGTGCGCAATTCCACAGGTACATATGTTTTTGCGTGATTTTCAGATCCTTACCAGCAGTATAAATTTTTGTTTACCAATCCCTCAAAAGCTTTTTTGCTCAAAGGACGATGGTAGTTGCAAGAGACATAACAGACTAAACGAGTCTGAAAAGTTTCTCCTTCAATATTCATAGCAATCTGTAGCCATTTGATTTGGTTTTTCCCGATACTATCAGATCATGGCTATCGGGACACTGGCTTTGTGCTACAACAACATTCAGCTCTTCAGGGGTGTCGTGAAAATGAGAGACGGTAAGACTAGCATTTTTTGAAGTCATCTTATTGTGTATAAAGTCTGATTTGTTCTTCTAAATTAGTATATTACGTGGATTATTACAACCTTAACGATCTCATCATCCTAGGTCTTGCTGCTAAAGTTTACGACCGAACCAAAACAATGTCAGATGTCTATGGGGCTTTTTATGATTTCTCTTGCACGCTCAAGTCTAAGGTACGATGCTTCATTAAAGACCAAATACATTATTTTGCTAGCAAGAATGTTATCCACTTTGGGCATTCGCAAGCAGTGTTTGATGCACAATCTTTATCCACGCCGAAAAATGCAGTTTCTTGATCGACCTTTTCTTGAGAATCTTTCATCTCTGCCAAAGAACTTGCTTCAAACTGTTTAATCCTTAACATATCAATTAAAAAAAGCAAGGAATTCTGTGTTCTTTCATCTTATGTCAAATCTATATTTGGTTTCCTTATGATGCATATTGAAAAAACTATTCCTTTTTTGTAGATTAACGACAATGATCCTAATGCTTGCAAAACAAAGGAGAGGCTAGAAGCAATCTTGAAAATTTGCCAGAACTCTGGATCCTTGAACAAATGGTAGTTTAGCCATATCGAGTAATCGTCTGTGAAATTTTTTTATCAATGTTTTGCTAACCTTGATGGTTTATTGCAGGAAATCATACATTATTGTATAGAAGCAAGCCTAGATACAAGACTACTTCGGCGAGTGTTCTTGGTTGTCCTTTTTTAATTGAACCCGACCTTTGTCTAGTAGATTTTTTTTCTTATTCTAAATTTTTCGCAGATTGTTGTCATCTTCATCATTTTGGCACGATATTCGCCTACCTACCCTTCTATACGCAGACGGTTTTTGTGTCATTTGTCGATGCTCTATTGTTCTTGTAGAATTAGTTTCAAACAAAATCCCTAATTATCAGCATATGCCTAGAATAAAATCATTCTTATGTACGCAATAGTTAAATGATGTTAAATTCTACAACATTTTAAAGTGTTCTAAGTGAATGTACACTCGATATTATGAGAGGAGCTATATTATTTAATTTTTTAGTGTGCTAACTTGCTTGTATGTCATCTTAAGCGAGGAACTCGTAATTTCTATCTTTTTAATTTCAGTGTGTATTTAACTTTGCATATTAAAAATAAATATTTTTACATCAATCCGTACAATTAAGGTCACTATCCCTTACTCCATTTTTATTCTCACCCTATCTTTGAAAATTAGTGAAGACGCTTTGAGAGCCCCCGAGTAAAATTAGGAACATGCGAAATCAGATTAAACTTATGATTATTTAAAATTTAAAAAACATTTTTAAACCAAAAGATAAGGGCTTGTTGACAGGATTTCTACTTTTTATCGAAGAGTTTTTAGAGAAAGTCAATATATTTTTAAAATTTTTTCTAGCTAGACAAATCAATTTAAAAAAATTATCTAAATATGTTCAAAATCAATTTTTTTATTTCAGAAGTAGCTTTTGATTTTTCAAAAAAAGTCACGACAAAAGGCTTTAATTTATGGGTATATTATTATTCTTTGATTCTTTGTTCGAGTATATGGACCTTTTTGTTTTTTTGCGAAAGCTACTTTAATAGGTGTTAGGAAATATTTTCTAAAAGAACTTCATTTTAAGTGGAAAACAATTTCAATCAATTTTTTTCTAAAAGCTCTTTACTCTTATAATTAAAATTAATCAAAAGAATTAAAAAAGAGCTTCGAGTCTTGAAATTCGTTAAAAAGGCCGAGTCTGAAACAAAAGTCATGCCAAACGAGGGAGATGACAAGGGCCGCTGCAAATATGCATACATACTTTACATGTACATATGTATCGCTTTCCCTCTGCGAATTTCAATGCCTTGCTTGGGGCACCGGCTATGGATGACATCGAGAACACCACAGCCAGCTCCAGACCCAATGTACAACTCCAGGGATACCGCCGCACTCGCTGCCTATCAAAATACAAGGTAATGCCCAAAATCGTGGAATTAAGTTCTCTAGCAATTGATTAATCAAAATCTTGCCGTAACAACCCATCTAACATCACAGAAAGTTAAAGAATTCACGAAATTTCAGCGCTCGTTATTGTCACAATCACCAATCTCAAAATGTGGTGGCTATGAACCTATATAATGAACAGTGGGAATCGAAAGCATTCCTTCGCATCTCCACGTTACAACTTTTATCCAAAACACTTGAATCTTCAAATCAAAATTGAACTATATTACAGTATATTCCCAGTTGGGAGGACAGTAGCTGATGGGCTGTTTGAGCTTGCTGACGGCGAGTATGCCGATGCCAACCAGGAGGAGATTCACCGGGCTGGGGGTCCCAGACTTCTCCTCCAGCACCCTCAGAATGGCTTCCGTCTGGGTCCATAAAAGCATGCCATTAACAGTTGCCAACTGGTAAGTAATCAAAATTTGTTTCAAGTTTCAGTTCTTAACTCCGTCTTTTTTGTGTGTGTGTGTGGACTGTGCAGTGTTGTTGCTGATTATTATATTTGTATGATGACTCAGTTTTATAATAATATTGTTGTTTTTCTTTTGTTGGGATATTTGGTAGTTTGAGGGAGAATTCAAGATTTTTTGGCCATGAATTCAGAGAGACATTGGAGATGGAGATGATGGTGAGACAAGCAGATACCACAGGTGCCTCACTGGAAATTTTGCTACATGATGATGCGCAAGGAAGCGGCATTTGGTGCCGTCATCCTTCATCAACTCGATCCAGATCTTCGTAATTCTGTAAGTTACCTTCTTTGTCCTTTTAAGTTCCTTAAGATTATTATATTGCCAAAGGTTTTGTAAGTTATGTTTTACTGAATTTCGAAAAATTATAAATTTCTGATTTTGATGGTGTAAACGTAATTTTTAGTTGATGTGGAAATAAATATTATCTTTAGAAACCTCACCAACAACTTCCTAGTTTTTGAAAACCAGAGTAAAACGATAATAAAGACGATCTGCCAAAAGAGGCTACCCAAAACTGCTACGGGAAATACAAATCCCCCTACATTGCATTCTTGTGTCTTGACAAAGGAGTTAGACCAAGGAGCACTTGAGTAACTGATGGATTGTATCGTTTAACCACATTGTGATCCAAACTTGCAATTAGTTCTAATTGCACACACCATATTTTTGAACAGTTTGAAACTGGGCAACTACGTCTTCACCAACGTGTTTCTTTGAACATGAAATATGGAGAATAAAATGAGTCTTAGTAATTAAAGACAAAGTAAGCTTGTAAGAAACCTGTCCAATTTAATGCAATACCTTTTAAGCACTAAAAATTTTAGGGAATAGTTTCTGATTTTCTCTTAATGCAACACAAGCTTGTTCAAAAATCTGTAAATAAAATATACCATATCCCCACTTCAAAACGACATTCCATTATGTTTTCCAGCCATTTATTTCATCCTATGTTGAATCAGACAATACCATCCCGATTCTTCAAATTTCGTACCAGTGGAACGCAACATTTGTCTGTCCAACATTATAGGTGGTATAGGTTGGTAGTGTTTTGCATACATGACCTCAAATGATGATGGTAAACTATACCCATGTTTAACTTAGTAGCTTGGAGTCAAAATAAACCTTGCCAGAATGCACAATTAAACACCCTATCCCGATCCCTCACAATACTAGTAGGAAGACCATGAAGTACAATTAAACACCCTATCCCCATTTTGGGCTTCAAGGGTGGCTGAGAGCTGTAAAATGAGCATATTTGCTTAGGTGGTTCACTACTACAAAAATAATCTCGTCCACAATATTAAAGAGTCGATCAAAATGACGAAACTTGTTTGGGTATATGTAGATGCTGCAAGAATCAGGGTATTGCCATACTATCCACCTTGTTTTACTAGCATATATCACTTGCAACAACATAGATAAAGACATCTTAATTTTTTTATTTTTTTCTAAAAGCCCATTTTTTTCATTTGCATATATCACAAGCAGATGTTATTTCTCCTTTTTACCTTATTGTAGCCCCCTGGCCTCCTGATCATTGCTTCCAACTAAAAGTCGATAGTCTGCGACAGAGTATGAGGCTGGAAAATGGCAACTTGAATCTGTACAACCCACTAGCAAAGTATTCAACCAAAAACTCTTCGTTAGCCTTCTTATTCTAGCAATTGGATCTTCAAATTGCTCTTAGTATTCTTTAACTATCGCAACATTTCACAACTTCGTTAACTGCCGATCGGATTACCAAACACCCTTGGACCGAACCAAATAATCAAATCTTTTGGAATGTGCCCACGGTAAATATTTGGTGCTGACTTCATAACCTTGGAACTATTCCAAGGCCATCCCACCTTTGTGAATTTCTGGCTAAGTTACCTATTTTGGATCTTCCATACTATTAACCATGAAGAAGCCTCTCATTTGCACACCTAACCCACAGCTTTCTAGTTCCAACAACTTCTTAATATTGGAAAACCAGAGTAAAACAATGGTAGAGGCAACACATTAAAATAAGTTGGCGCCACTCTACTCCAACTTCTGAACCCAACCAGTCCAAGAAGCTGCTGCACCACAGCCACCAACCCAAGTCTACATCAGGCATCACTATCTCAACCGCCTGATTCTCCAGAGTCACGTCCATTATCAACTATCATTTGAATAAGTTCAATCTGATTGTGAAATTTGCTGGTTTCAGGTGTGGAAATTATTGATTGTGAAAGAAGTCCAGAAGAAAGAAGAGTTTTTCTTTCCCTTTTTATTATTTTCATGGTTTCAGTTAGGTTGCAGGGGAAACGTGATTATAGTTTTGGGGGCGCTGTGTTTTGCTGTTTGTGTTACACAACTGATTGGCTATGGTAACTGGAACGGGTGATGGATTGAGTTTTGATGGACTAGAAAAGAGCGTGTAAGAATGGTGGTGAGTTCCATGGGTAAATCAGCATGGGGTAGAAATGGATAAACAGATAAGGTCTTCCTATTTTAAAAATCGATTGAGATTCGGTCAATCTTTGTGAAGGTGTATTGAGTTTCTGTTTGATAAATTGTGATGAGTATCTGCCCATCTGCAATGTTTCATTAATAGTGTTACATACTTGAGTATATTTTGTTGTGTATGTAGCTCATATAGAGTGAAACACATGTTTACTGGGTATATTTAGACTTTTCCTAAAATTTTGTACAGGCCCTAAAGTCTTATATGAGTTAAGGTTAGGGTTAGTATATATATATGATGTAATCCTATTATTCATACTGAATGAAATAATCTCCGCTTCGCTCCTTGTGAATGTAAGCACACTATCGAACCATGTTAAAATTCCTGTGTTGATTTCTATGTTTTCACTTCTCTATTATTGCATATAAATTCCGACACATGTCATATTAATTTTTTGTCTCTTTATTTGTTTCTCTTTACGAATAATGATCTTCATATAATATTTCTTATATTTATAGGTATGCATTTTCTGTTTGGTTCTTCAAGCACTTGATTCTGTTGGTGTGCTCTGACTATCAATAAGTTGGCCTATTCATATTTAATCTACAGAAAAAGTGCACTGACAATTTTTCTAAAAGGGTGTTCCCGCATAAGAGACAATTGTCAAATTCGTAGATGTCATTTGATAGCGTTTAAAATATTACTCATAAGTGATGTTATTTTCATTTATAAATTATACTATTAGGAAAATATAGTTTTAAATAAACTTCACTCGTAAAT